CCCCCCCCCCCCCTTTTTTTTGGTCTATTTTCCTGTTATTTCTGAGGAGATACATTTCTCCAAAAGGCTTTTGAAATATAGCCAGAACTTGTGCATTATAATCTATCAGAACTTTTTATATTTCTCTCTCTTCATATTCAAATTTAGCCGTAGTACTTCAGAAGGGTCTCCTCTTTCTACAAAGATCAGTTCTTGTATCACTCGGGCATTCATTTTGCTGCCTCAGGTTTTCAGAAGATCTTCGTAACTCTCTACATAGAAAGGGAGAGTTTCTGGCAGACTACGTGTCCTAACCAACTTCATGCTTCATCCTGATTTATTCTCTTCTTGGTAAATTTCAAAGCGCAGCACATTATCCTATCTGACAAGTAGAATTCCCAAGTGGTCCGATGTCAGAGGTTTGATGTATCCTTCTTAATGATACCTTTTATAACACATTGGATTAAACAACTCCATTCACATTTTTAATTTTACTTAAATTAGTTTCCTCTTCATTTTTAAAAAAGACAATAACCTGCCCTGATGTTTGAAAACCTAGGCTTTTTGCTTCTGGCACGCTTAGGACTTTTTAAAAGAGTTGGAATGGCTTGCGTCTTCAAAGACTGTCATAAATCTTTGTCACAGAGAGGGAGAGATATAAGAAACACTGGAAATTCTTTTTTGGCTCTCTCTTTGCAGAATTGTTATAATTTTCTCAAGAGTTATCCCTGGATAATTCATTTATCAGCATGATAGTTTTATTGTTTTTTAATATATTGTTTTATTCTTAAATGAGACAGAGGAAAGCCATCTGGAGTACTTGTTTGTTGGCTGACAGTGCTGGTTGCAGCAGTACAGTTCTGTACAGACAAGGGGATGCAGAGAAAGACCACATGGTTTGTTTGATCCTCATTTTTATGTTGCTCTAGTTTTGGCTGCCCTTCTGACTGCCCGCAAGAAAGATGGCCACAACACCATTACACTTTTTAAGACCATCTCATTTTGTTTATAGAGCTTTTCAATCAGGTCTCTGTAGGTGTCTGCTCCAGCTGTTCCTCTGTTCTTTCCAACTTGCTGCATTTACACTTGCAACATCCTTTTCTTTATAGTTGTACCATTCCCCCAGCCTGGGACCACAAGGGGGTCATTTGCCCCTAGACTTGCTTTTATACGTTGAAGGTTCAAGAGGTGCTTCATCCCTTTCATGCACACAATTGTGGCTTGGAAAGAGGGCAAGAAAAAGGGCACTCCTTCCTCCTTTCTTCTGTCATGGAGACAGATGTCCTCTAAAATTGCACACACGATGCAGCCCATGCTTCGTATCCGGAGTCAGAGCGTCTGCTGTTTCCTCAGACTGCTTACATTACTTGAGTGGCATAAGGCGGTCAAGACCTGTGGTATATCGAGGGGCAAGGTGGAACAATCAGGAGGGAACAACTTCCTCTCATCCTCCAACACAGGCTCTGTTTTGCTGCAAACTGGCCTGCTGGACCCAAAGCCAGCTTTCTGCCAGCCTTGCTCTCCTGCAGGAGCGGGTGCAAGGCCTCTTCCCAAGTTCTGAATGTACACCAAGGGATGGCACAAGATTTCCAAGTAGAAATCAGCAAGTCTGATTCCTATACAAGGCAATGTTCTCCATCACCTGTATGATAAAATCAGGCTCCAAACAAGCAGAGAAATTTTCCCAAACAGGACCCAAAGCAGACTTTCTGCCATCCACATGCACCTGAAGTTCTGCCACTTGCAGCGTCTGCAATCTGATCATTTATTGACATTTCCAAGCTTCGCCTGTCACTTTTTCAGCAAACTTCATCTGGATTTCAGGTTGCCCATAAAACTTGAAAGCAGGTTTAGTAGCAAGAATTTACAATGTGAACATCTTGTTAGGAGAGACCTTACTGGGCCCCTTTAAGGGAGAACCTTGCCTTTAAAAATGAGTAACTAAGAGCCTCTACCTCTTTTCCTCATGAAACTTCATTGAAAATATGATCAGCAATAAATCAACTGCTGAGAAAAATGGTCATGTACAGCTGGGCTCTACTCCTGCATAGCAATGACACTGGAAAAATCACACACATTTCCCTTTCTCTTCTGTGTAAATTGACCTTGTAAAACTTAAGCTATACCCTCCCTAAAATGCCTTTTAGTCCTGCAAAATCCTGGGGAAGGTTCAGGTTCAGTCTACAGAGGTGCAAATCTCAAAAGAGGAGAGGAATTGTTTGAAAACAATGCAGAAAATACTGCATCACATCCAGCCCTCTTCTGCACTCCTCCTATGTGAAAAGATGAGCTCTGCATGTTAAAATGATCATCTTATACATGAAAACACTTCTAAACCATTCTACAAAATTGTGCTTATGTAGAGGATCTGGCACCCACATTCACTTGTCTAATGTATGCTGACAGTGTTCGTTTAGAAATTTTATGATAACCAGGGGAAGAAGTCCTGTGTTGTTTATTTCTGAGTTTTTTTTCCTTACTGAGGAAGCAAATGGTGTTTAGATTTTGTGAGGGAACTTCCATTGATTTCATGGCATAAATTCATCCTATATTTGCCAGGCCATTTCCCTGCAAACAACTGAGTACAGTGAAAGTGTTTTGCTTGTGTTGTAATATTTCTTAAAGAAAGTTGAAACAATTTCTTATTGTACAGCGGGCATTACTAAATGAGACATGATCTTTTCTCTCATTGCTTAATTACAACTCTCCCTCTCTCTGGGTAGATGCAAAGGGTTTTCTATTTTTTTTCTTAATTACAGAGCAGGCCACAGGTCAAAAGGTGAAGGTTATACAAGCCGATTTCACTAAAAATTCAGTATACGAGAACATTGAAAAAAATCTGCAAGGCTTGGATATTGGTGTTCTGGGTGAGTCATTAAGGTCTGTTAGTTGAAGAGTATTTTATGGCTGCAGTGTATTAAACAGAGAATTGTATAAATTATATGTCATAACAACTTGTTAGCCAATGCTTAAAACCAAGCATACAGCTGCCTAATGCATTGGTGCATTACTTATCATTAACAGGTTTTAAAAGTGAATTAAGGTTCTCCAAAAGCTTCCTGTTTCTCTGTACAGTGGCTTCTTTACTGTGAAACCTTTTCTGACACTTTATAAGCACCATCCAGCTTGCCTTCTTCCTTATTATTGACTCAAGGAATTAATTTTCACTATTGGTTGCTTTACAGCAATTCTCATATTCAGTCTCAAATGAGCTTGTGGCTGACACTAATTGGTATGATCCCTGCAGCAACAATGAAAATGTGTTTTGGGGGGAAGTTATGTTTATTGGGGTTTTTTTTGGTAAAGAAAACCATCCTTTTAGTAGTGAAACAAATGAAACAACAGCAACAAAACACAAACAAACAAATAAAACCCCAAACTGCAGCAACAGACTTTTTCGGTTCCCTGAAGTCAGTACTGATCAGTACCAATGACTTCAGTGAGAACAAGGCTCGATGCTAAGTAGCATTGCTTTTCACGTACAGCCCAAAAGCTTTTGGGTCTCAAGGAGAGGCCATTTGTTTAACTAGCTGAACTCTGCACTTTGTCTAGATTTTCTTCTTATCGCTGTATTTCCTTTGTTTAGTTAACAATGTTGGAATGCTTCATAATCCTCTTCCATGCCGTTTCCTTAATGGACCAGACATAGATGAGGTAGGATTTCTTTGTGGGTTTCTACTTACAATATAACAATGAGGAACTGTAATTCCATTTAACAAGGGACTGATTCTGCCCCTGCTACAATCAGCACGTATTTAACTGTTCAGCTGAGTGGGAAAAGAACTGGGCCTGAAGGTGCATATTTTGTTTGTTTTTAATGCTCAGAAGAGCTTGCAAGAGAAGAAGAATGGCACATTTCAGCTAAATTGCAGCAAGCACCCAGCAATAGAGGGTAAAGCACAGCTGGCGTGGTTGTAGTAGGGATCAGCAGCCCCTCTGTCTCACTGCTCACATGTAATGTAATCAAGTCCAGCCTGGTCACAGCCACAACTGAAGCGTTGGGTTCTTGTTAGTATTATTAAAACTCACTTTCTTTGGAATGCCATTGCTTAAGTATGTGAAAAAATGAAAAAAAAAACAAAACACCTCATTTAAACACAGTTTACTTTTTTGCGGGAGTTAATTCACACATGTTCAATAGTTTGACAGGATTAAGAATATGATCAAGTTTTTCATTGCCTTATTGTTATTTACCTCTATACTATTAGCCATGAAGAAAACAGAATTTCTAAGTGTTTTTCTTGTTAGCACCTGTCTCAGGATCTATTCAGTCTATATATCATCATCTATCACAAATCAGAGATGCCCAAACAGGCTGTTTCCCTCAAAGCTGCAGCTGTATGATGGCACCTCTGCTGCTGCTACAACTTGGGTTTGCTTGCTGGTGTTGGGAGGGTATCTCTACAAGGCAGTGCTTTCGTTGCACAGTCTACCTCTGTCACTGAGAGCCACTCAGTCTCAGCCTGCCACCTCTGCTGTCTGTATGCATCCAGCTTGGTTTTGTCATGTGCAGTGACATGGCTGAGCAAAACGGAGGACTCAGAGTCAAAGGGGTGCAAAGCAGATTTGGACACCATGTTTAAAAGAAAATAAATCACTGCTCACCTGCCTTTGAGTATCCCACATCATAGGCACAGTCAGTGGCAATCAGAGGCAAGCGAAGCAGCTCTAAAAGCATCTGCCTTGCCAGAGGGCTTTTCAGTTGCGATTGCTGGCTTTGTTACCTAGATAAGGTACAAACTCTCAGAAGTTAACTGTGAACTTACTGTTTTCTTGCTTCTTGCAGAACCTAGTCCACTGCAACATTATTTCTGTTACAAAGGTATGTGACACACTCAAATCTATGTTGCATCTGTATTTTTTTGGGAAGAAATTAGTCACACACAAGAGTGACCAACTAGCTTTCCTATGTATTTTCATTTAATTTATCTGCAGATAGTAATTTTGAGCAGCAATATCATCATTATTTTAAGGACCCCATCTGTTTTTACTGCCTATGAAATATTTTGATCAGAACTGACTAGAAACGTTTTAACACAGTTGCTTGGTTGAGACACATCATTACACTGCAGCTGAAAGATTTTGCAAAAATGTGTTTGTTTCAGTAAACAGGGAGATTTGTTTCAGAATCAAAATCTTCAAGACAGGAAGATCTGCAGTTTGACTTTTTGTACTATACTTGAAATTTTAGACACAATTCTGTTCTGCAAAAATACTTTTTGTATCAGTGCAGGACTGAAACTTAGGGAGCTGACTCCCTATTCTGTATTGTTGCCTCTTTGTTCTAGTTTTGGTTGGCTACTTCCCTTACAAGAACAGTTAGTATCTCGGGCTTTCCACTTCTGATTAAGACTTGCATTGCTCTGCTGTTTGCAAGCAGCATGTTAACGTGAACAAGACCAGAACAAGAGCTTTGTAGTTCATCTCAACCTTGGCTAATATCTTTCTAAACATGACAGGAAAATTATCAACATATGTTAGTCTTTCTATGGCTAGAAAACTTTACATCCCAAATTTGTACTGCTGCTTAATGACTTCAGGTAATAAATCATGTAATATCAGTCAATTGAAACAAATTCTTGCATAAAATAGTTTGGTCAACTTTCTGCTCCTGGGTTTTATTCTATTTATATATCAAAAGCACAGAAATATCTGCCGTATCTGAATGCTATACATATATGCCTCACATAAACAGGCGAACATTTGTACCCTCTCAGTCTGGATACAAAAGGGTTCTCCCTTTACCATTTCCCATGCACACATACCTCAGAATCAACCTCTTCTGCTTCATCAGGGCCTGGGGATTCCTTTTCCCCACTGCTGCAACAACATCCTTTTCAGTCTTTCACGAACATTCACTTTCCTCCAAAATACAAAGAAGAAATCATGCTCCTGACCAGCATTCCTCATGTTAGGTCCAAATCATCTTTAAATCTGTTTGGTTTTTTTTCCCCTGCTCTCTGCCTTGATTTGTGATAGGATCTTGCTCACCACTTCCTGCAGTGGGATGCCCGAGCTCCAGGTATTCCTGGCTCCCACAGATGTCACTGGAATTTCAGCACTGCAAAAGCAGGACCTTTTACCATGTTTTCCACTGTACTTGGAACTTCCCCTTCACCAAAGGTGATGTGACCCACCTGCATTGTCATCCTTTCTGAAGACGAAGCTTGTGAACCCCACCCTACTCCTACTATCCTGTTTTGCACAATGACACTACTAAAAAAATAGGGAATTAACAGGGATTTAATTGATCTGCATCATTCATTTGCACTGCTTTTCATTACTGCCCTCAACAAGTTAGGTCCCACTCTTGTTCTAAGAAGATTCATACATGGTGTCATGGTGTCAATACATAGTATTGACTATTTAGTCAATACTATGAATATGAATTCCCTAGGGACTTGGGCTTACTATCAATAATACTCTTCAAATACAACAAACAGGAGCAGATTTCTTACCTAAAAATGGATTTAATTTAATGTAAAAATCATAAGCATGATTAAGTCTATTGTTAAAATACAAATGGATGATTAAATAATTAGCATCATAATGATCCTAAATCTCTTTTTGGTAACAGAAGAAAATTTGTCTTTTCATGATTTTTTGCTGTTTCTGGTCCAGGTAGAGCCCGAAGCAAAATGCAAAAACACTGTGAAACTGACTTTCTCCTTACAGTAGTGATTCAGTATTGAAGAATGATGAAATTCAGATACTACTGAAAAACTTTGGATAAGCATAAGACCTGCACTGCTTAGAAGACTAACATATGGAATTTTTTGACAATTCTGATGATTTATAGGCCATTAGGATTTCTAAAATGTTTTCCAAAACTTTCAGTGTGCCACATTTTAGCCATCTGAACCATACACATATGGATGGGGCTTGAACAAGTGGAAAATCTTGTGAATAAAACAATATCAGCTGAAAAATGCAATCAGAAAGAGGGAGAATGGATATAATTCTTAACATACTTGTCTTACAGATGACAAAAATTATTTTGCAGCAAATGGAACTAAGGTATAAATATTTTTTTTCCTAGAACTTTCGATAGCTTTTAGCTGCTACCTCCAGGTTATTCAGTGGTAGCTATGTTTTATCATTATTAACTTCTCCACTTTACAATATGTCAATCAGTAAGGTTTCTTCTGTTGCTGTTAGTATTGTGTGAATGAATGATAAGAACTGCCACAAATTGTCAGTCAACTGTAGAAAAAGATAGAAAATATAAAATATAGGTCTGTGTCCAGTAAAAGCATGCAAGTGTTGCAGAAATAAAATGACATGTGAGGGGTCTAATCAGGCAAGAAACACCATTTGAATATATTGTCGTATTCTTCTAAGAATAGTAGCTGTGCTTGGAATAATGCTTTTCAAGCTCTGGAAGTACCTGTAGTACATCAGAGAGTATAATTCAGCTAGGCAATTAAGGATCCCTTTTCTCCTTTTAATTCAATGTGTGTTTTAGACATGAGGGTCCTTAAACCAGAAGTTAAGGTCTTCAGATGGAGTTTGTAGAAAACATCGCTAACTACTGCATTTTAGAGGCTAGTGCATGCTTTTTGTTTCATCAACAAAATAAACTCTTACTGTTTAATTGTTTCGGTTTGTTTTTTCCTTGGTTGTTGCTGAATTAATTGTTTTTAGTGATTTGTGCAGGCAGTTGTGAATAGGGAAGCTAAAACAACAGAGGCATGGAGGAGGAAAAAGAATGTGCTGGCTAATGAGCAAAGGGGACCTACCAATTACTTAGAAGCATAAAATCCTTCCTCTGATGGCATTTTTTTGCTCTGTTAGATGTACAATAGCATGTACAATGTTCCCATGGTTCTGATTGCGCTAGGCATTTAAATTTCACTTAGGACATTATTCCTAGCTGTTTTAGACTTAATTGCACCTAGGTAAACCATAAAAATTGTGTCTTTTGAAGGTGTAGTCTACAGTATAATAGGAGAGCTATGCTTTCTGGGGGGAAAAAGTTTTTTTCCACTTGTGCAGGCTTTTGCTGTAATACTGGCAAATGTAAACTGAATGTAACTGTTTAAATTAAATTTCAGACAGAAAGGTCTTATTCTGAATCTGTCCTCTGCTCTGGGTACTTTCCCTTGTCCATTATACACAATGTACTCAGCTTCTAAGGTAAGCCTTTTACATTGCTTTATAAAGAAATCCACATCAAGTGTTTACCAAAGCATTTTTATCAACAGGGCCAGGTTTTCAGAAATGTGTTGCTCCATTGAAATAATGAAGTAAGGTAAATCAGCAGTAGCTGAGAATTAAGAATCAGTTAAGTTTTATAAATGAAACATAGCTGAAGGTATGTCTGATCACTGGAACATTTTTGCCTGTGATTATATAATATTATACCAGTGTTCACAATTCATTGTTGTTCTGGAAAGTGATGACTTTTAGCAGGCTGGCTTAGTTTACTCAAAGCTGTAGATGCACAAAAGTGCTAGATTTTGCTTATGGAACCACACATAAAATTATTGGTAGGTGGGTGGTGAGTTGCCTGACCTCATAGTTTTCACTTTGAAATTTTGCTCTGAATTAAAACCTCAGAGCTTATAAAAATAAGGAATTAATGATATTTACTGAAACTCCAGAAGCAACTTGCTCAGCTCAAGTTTGCTTAAAATGAAAAATTCTATCAATATTTGCTTGAACATAGCTAAAGTTGAGCTTGGTAAGAAAAGCTAGTTATTCTTGATAAGAAAGTCTATTTTTCCTTTTTATCTTTTTAATATATGTTTCTCATTACTCAAAACCTGAACTACATTCAAAGCAGAAAATTTTATTTCCTTAAAAAAGTTTAGTTAACATAATTTCAAAGTGTTATGGTACATTGGTGGTATTATTTTGACTTTTTTCATTCTTGGGAATCTTTTACCTTTGTTTCTTTTTAAATGGACTAGGTTTTGCAATGCCCTGAAGAGGAAACTATTTTACTTGCCTACATATTGATGTTTCATGCAATATCACAACACTATGGGTGTTTAAATTCTAAGACCTGTCAAACAATAGCTTTAAAACACTGTCATTTTTTCTCCTTAGTAGGACTTTTACGTTTCTAATTACAAAGGAGTGATCCAATGTTGTCAAATTTCTGAATATTTCTCAAGGATCTAACTGCTAAAATCAGCCTTAAAAGAAACCCAGCTTTTACACTAAGAAGTTAGTATATGTGTACTCTTCACGGTGTAGAGAAAAACTTAGAAAGATAAACCTTAAAGGCTGAAGCTACAAAACCCTGCAAATTCCCAAATACATGACTTTGAAGATCATATTTGTAGGCTATGCTAATAGATATTCACTGAAGGCATGAGCTGTATTTTGCTTCTGTTTTTGTTGCAAGAGAAACAACAGTGTAAGCCTTGAACCGAGAGGGCAGGTGTCAGCCAGAATGAAACAATAGCTAGAATAAATGTAGGTAGTTATATCTCTGCATTTTCATAAATGTGACAAAGCTTTCAGTCCAGTCTGCGGCAGTACTTGTTTCATGTCTGGCTTGGGCCAGTGCCATGCTTCATCTTTTCTGGTGCAAATAGTCAAGCTTGTCATTGCTCAAGTGCACCAGCAGAAACTGTGTCTTGAAAAGTTTGTTTCTATGTTTTTCACCACTGCACTGTGTCTCAGGTTGTATGATCCTTGGCCATTTTTAATAAGGACCTGTTTGCACATATTTGTTAGCGTATGTGAAATGTGTGATGTTATTTTGAAATGTGTAATGTTATTTTGTTTCATTTTTTTTCTAGACTTTTGTGAGGACTTTCTCAAAAGCACTACAAGCAGAGTATAAGGCAAAGGGAATTATCATACAGGTGATGCTATATCTTGCCATATGTGCCTTCATTTCCACAAATTCTTCAAGAATATCTGATATGCCTAAATCTCTATAGTGTAGCCACCCTTGGTGAAGTGCTGGGTGACCCTGTCAAAGTTTTGTCTCCTCCCTCCGTGCAGCTTTTTTCCTTATTCCACCATAGTACCATTACTTGTTCCACATAGTGCCTTAGTCCATTGCAAATATCTGTTATAATTTGTCAGATGCTGTGGGATTCTGCAGAGTGAATGGCCTTATGTAAATTTTAGATGACGTTGCACTGTTACGATGTTTTCTCATTTTAGGTAGTGGCTCCTTATGGTGTCTCAACTCCAATGACAATGTACCAAAAACCCGGTCTTGTTACTAAGACGGCGGAAGAGTTTGTTAGTGAATCACTGGATTATGTCACCTTTGGAGATGAGATTTTTGGATGTTTAGCCCATGAAATACTGGTAATTGAATTTGATAGCGTGTGAATGCATCCCAAAGGCTGAACCAAGGCTGTCTGGGCTCAGCAGTTTCCTTTGACTGATTTCAGAGATCTTAAGGTTGGACATCAAATGAGAAATGTGAATAGGTTGTTAAGGCTAATATGACACCAGTAAACTATGAAGGGAGGAATACATGTAGACTGATATCTGGTTTGTCTTTTTTTTCTAGCTGCCTGTTTCATGACCCTATTAGGAATATTTCTGAGACCCCTACTCCTTTACAGAAATTGGCCAGCAGATCCGAAAATGGGGAAGGACAGAAAAACAGGCTGAGCTATCACATAAACATAATTTCCTTAGGATACCAAGCTAACAAAATAGAGTAAATATTTATATATGGCAGCTGTTAAAGATGAGTATTAAATTAAAGTATAGAATGAGAACAGGTTTGCTGAAAACTGAGAGGAATTAACATTTCCCTCTAAGAGAAACGTACATACTGAAAGTATAAAGTAAAAGCATTTACATTTACTGTTTTCTATGAATTTCTGAACACTCAGTTAATTTCTTTCAAGAGATTTCTATAACCCTTTGCCTTTGTATTGTTTTTGCTTGATCATTCTGAAGGCGTGTGTCCTGCAGTTTGTCCCTTTATGGGTATTCCACAGCGACAGACTTCAAGAAGCAGTCCTGCATGGATTTACCGGTTATCTGAAGAAGAGGTGGAGGAACCCCTAACAGGGTCATTTTTTTTTCGGAAGACCTGCGACGGGAAGCCCAGCAGGATGCAATTTTACTGTGTGTCTGTGTGTGTAAATGCAGAAGGAATCAAATCAGTTTGAGCTATATCTCCGTACAAATCACCTATCAAGTGATAAGTGATTAATGAGTCTATTAAGTAAATTAATTCCTGACCCTTTTCAAAGACAATAAAATTTGCTAGAGCTGTTCCACTGACTTCTGTAGGTCTTAAATCGGTTCTAAGAAATTTATGTTACTATATTAACATGAGCTTGGAAGCCACAAGTATTTACACTTCTTTGATGTTCCCAAATAAAAAAAATATTTTGCTTTATTTCCAAACATGTTCACAGTGTATTTTGATGCTTTCAGTGAGTGGTTGGTGTCTTCAGTTTCTTCTGAAATGTCAAGGAAATTTGCAAGAAGAAAAAAAGAAAGCTTTCAGAGTGTAAAGTATACACTGGACCTTTGAAAGTCTGCAACCGTAAAAAATTTATTTCTGTCCAGAGCCTGTTAGTCACTTTGTCCTCTGCAGTATCTGATATGGGCTGGAGGAGACAGGAGCATAGGCAAAAGGTATGCAGTAATCCTACATTCCTGGATGAATCCACAAGGCAAACCTTTTAGTTGTAGATACCTATGAAGATCATACTGAGTGCTACTGAAAGGCATGCCAAGGCCAATGCAATCATCAGGCACAGTCAGCATGG